CTCTTTACTTCATTAATGTTCTTGCATTAAATATGAGTACCTAAGCTTCAAGTTGGATAATCCAAAGGAGAATTCCTCTTGGGTATGCTAAACAACTTTTTTTCATTCCTCCTCGTGGTGTACGATGATTTGGTTTGACTAGGTTAAGTGTGGACATGGTTGTGAGTTATTGATACACCGTAGACTTGTCATAGGGTATGCTTGAATCCTCACCTCCATTCTTAGTCCCTCATTCCCTACAAATCAATCAAACATCTAAGAACCATTGGAGGAAGATCTTAAGTTGATTTAGCATTCCCATTGGAATGACCCCTTCGGATTAGCCAATATTGTTCCATTTCATTTTCATCAAAAACACAATTCACCAAACCTCAAACATCAAAGATTTTTACACTTTTCTTTTTTTCACCAAAATCACTTTCAACACATTTCACCTTCATTCCTTGAGGAGACGACCTTGGAATACGAATTCCAAGTAAAACACGACACTCAAAAGTCTCTATGCGCTTAGGGAGCACTTTTGTTCACACACACACACACACACATTTCATCCCACGCACTCATTTTCCCATTTCTTGCATCGAACCCAAGTGAGAGTGACACTTACCCCACACACATAAGCCATATACACATTAAGGGTTCATGTTCCAATTTAGGAACGATAGAAAAAACATCAAGCAATGTTCAAACGCCACCCTAGGATCAAACATGATCCAGCAATATGACTGTTAGGTGATGAGCAAGTAATATTACATATTTAACGGCCTCATTACATGCATTTTGATTCAACTTTGCAATTAATTACTTCGAGTTAGTCAAATTTGTGAATAATGTAAAAATTTTGATGTTATAAGTAATCACAGGGTAAATGATGGTTTTCGAAATCATGCAATAAAGTGTGGATGAGTGGTGAAGAAATGGACACATTACAAGGATTTGGAGGCTTCAAAAGTGAAAGAAATCAAAGAGGTACTGGTAGCTCGTATCATAGTTACCAGTACCTAAGCCTACCAAAATATTGCTACCAGAACCCACACCATTAGGTACCTGTACCTCGACATTTCCCATTTTTGACCATGATTCACTTCAAATCTGAAAAAGTGAAAAACATAAAGTTATAGATCCAGAGGTCCTCTATCTTGTATCAAAAGTTTAGCTCAATCAAACATTGGAATCAAAAGTTATGAAAAATCTACAAAAATTGATCTAAGTTGTCATTAAAGCTCACTATCATCGAGGTACCCTTACCACATCACTAGGTACCGAGACCACAGTTAAAAAAAATAAAAAAACTAGGGTCAAAGTTAGGATTTGACTGAGAATAGCCCATACTTTCCACTAGATCTATATATATATATCTTTGAGGAGTTTTGTGGGGGAAGAAGGTTAGGGAATGAGGTTACCTAAGCTTAGAAGTAGTGTAGAGAGAGAAAGCTAGGATTCTTGCTTTTCCTTCACCATTTTCATTCTTGTAAGTTTCAATCTACATGAAATCTTTATTTTTAGCACTTTAATCTTGTTTATTTCAAGTTGTATTGAGTTTGGCTAGGGTTTATGATTCAAACTATTTAGTGATCAAATTTATATTATACACCGAAGTATAAGTGATTGAATTGTAGTTTTCTTGGTTTAAGTCCAAGATCGATCCCACAAAAAATTTTAATAATTAGGAAACAAAATAAAAATAGTGCAATTGTTGTTTAAAAGAGGACAACATGAGATNGGGTAAATGATGGTTTTCGAAATCATGCAATAAAGTGTGGATGAGTGGTGAAGAAATGGACACATTACAAGGATTTGGAGGCTTCAAAAGTGAAAGAAATCAAAGAGGTACTGGTAGCTCGTATCATAGTTACCAGTACCTAAGCCTACCAAAATATTGCTACCAGAACCCACACCATTAGGTACCTGTACCTCGACATTTCCCATTTTTGACCATGATTCACTTCAAATCTGAAAAAGTGAAAAACATAAAGTTATAGATCCAGAGGTCCTCTATCTTGTATCAAAAGTTTAGCTCAATCAAACATTGGAATCAAAAGTTATGAAAAATCTACAAAAATTGATCTAAGTTGTCATTAAAGCTCACTATCATCGAGGTACCCTTACCACATCACTAGGTACCGAGACCACAGTTAAAAAAAATAAAAAAACTAGGGTCAAAGTTAGGATTTGACTGAGAATAGCCCATACTTTCCACTAGATCTATATATATATATCTTTGAGGAGTTTTGTGGGGGAAGAAGGTTAGGGAATGAGGTTACCTAAGCTTAGAAGTAGTGTAGAGAGAGAAAGCTAGGATTCTTGCTTTTCCTTCACCATTTTCATTCTTGTAAGTTTCAATCTACATGAAATCTTTATTTTTAGCACTTTAATCTTGTTTATTTCAAGTTGTATTGAGTTTGGCTAGGGTTTATGATTCAAACTATTTAGTGATCAAATTTATATTATACACCGAAGTATAAGTGATTGAATTGTAGTTTTCTTGGTTTAAGTCCAAGATCGATCCCACAAAAAATTTTAATAATTAGGAAACAAAATAAAAATAGTGCAATTGTTGTTTAAAAGAGGACAACATGAGATAGCTTGTGATGTGAGTTTTGATTGATAACTAATCTAATCAAATGGTTGTTTGCAGATAAATTGTGAAAAGGCAATAATATAAAAAGTACCCTTCAGTTTAAGGATCTCATATGCTTTATTGGTTAAATAGTAGAAATGCTACCTTATAGCAATTAACTTTCATGTCACGAGAAAGTCAACCGGTAGGTATAATGTATATAAATCATCACACAACAACTTCTTAGGTTAGTTGGTGGTATACGTGACAATTAACTAATTCAAACAAACTAGAAAGACAACAAGTTGGTGCCATTCATGAGGGATACTTGAATTACTCAATTGAAGGTATTAAGTTATAACATAACAACTTCTTAGCTTAGAAAGTTATAGATGTGTCATTTAATTAATTCAAGTGAACCAGAAAGACAAGTCATTCATGAGGAATACTTGAATTATTCAATAGGTCATATGTGATATATATACCAATTAAACATCCTCAACGTTCCAGTTGAGGACTAGCCATACCGATAGGAATACTGTAGATATTTGAGTGGCAATATTATCATGTATACCAGTTAAACGATCTTAGTAATCTAGAAGGACAAGTCATTCATGAGGATTACTTAGGTCATTAATCTGATAGTTATATACAGTAGTTAAACAACCCTGATAATCCAGAAGGACAAGCCATTCATGCGGATCATTTAGGTTTTGTACCATGCATCAGTAGAACATCCTCAACATTCCGGTGGAGGACAACCCATACCGATAGGAACACAATAGATATATAATTGGTAGGTTCATGATGCACTGATGACATAATTTTAGGCATAGCACCGAAATTACGTACATCACTGTATCATGCATGAAGCGTATAGTACATATATAGATAAATATATGAATAAAATATCAGCATCTTCAGTATTTAACTAATATTGTACATGTGTTTACCTCTCACTGGAGGATATAAGTAACTACTCACGCCTCATTGCTACAAACAAGCAAGGAGTGCAGACAGTTTTCATTACAACTGAAATTAAAATACAGACTCTGAAACTTCTTTTACAAAGAACAACTGAAGCACAACCACCTTTATTGTCAGTCAAGACAAAAAGGTGATGGTAGTTCAACTATCCGAATAGAAAGATACAACATAAATGTAGAAATACAGAGTTTCGACTAAAGTGTATGACGGACCGGATTGTATTGCAATTTCTCTTTCTCTCTTTCTTTTCTCTTTCTTTTTTTTATTTTTCTCTTTTGGAATTCTCTCTAGATACTCTGTGGCCGGCCTTGTTCAAATGAAGGATGACACCCCTATTTATAAGCAAAAAGGAAGCAAGAGGTGGAGGGATAAAGCTCAGCCACCTTTGGGGACCGTCCGAACCCCCCTCCACCGTCTGGACGCCCCTCCACCATTCGGACGCCCATGCCTTGCTAGTGTTTTTGCATGCTGATTCACTTTATATGCTGGTTTTTTTGGTTATATTACACTTTGGTCCTTTATTGTTTCAAGCTTCGACAATTTGTTCCTTGTATTTTGCAATAATTCTGCATCAAAACCTAAAAATTTAGACATAACACACGTAAAACCCTAATTCTCGCACAAACCCTAATTGATAGTTTTTAGTTAGTTTATCTTATCACTTTGACTTATTTTACAATTCTAATTTATATCCTAATTAGGGTTAATTAACCTAATATCCAGACTCAAGTACAAAGTCAAAAAAACAAACTTCTTGATGTATCTTTGAAGCAACGTAGTCCTGCACATAACAACTAAACCAAATACCTCGTGAAAAGCATAGAGAATATGAAATATGAATCTAATCACATAGATAATAGTAAGAGGAATAAGGAATAAGTATGCAAGTAACATGCGAAAGAAAATCTATGCAAACATATATAAGCAATTCAAGTACACTTGTTCTCAACAACTACTAGATTCAAGAGTGTAGTTATTTCCCTTAGTTAATGCTTTATACAACTGAAAGCTAACAAGTGTAAAATAACAAAAAAGTGCAACATCAACAAATGAAAAATGTGGCTTCATGCCAAGTTTTAAAATTTACTCCCCCTGAGTAATTACCTGATGCTCCCCCTTTTTGTACTTTCTTTTAACAATCTCCATCAATCTTACCTAAATTTCTTTAAAATCTCTCCCCTTTTTGTCATGAAGTGCCTAGGATAAAGTGTCAATGAAAACAACATAACAAGTAAAGAACAAGAGAATATGCAATAAAGCAACAAACTAGTAGAAATCATGGCAAGAGAATACCAAGAAAAGTTAAAAAGAAGGCATATACTATCCAACATCTAGAAAATATATGATAGAAATAATGTATGTCAGCAACACCTCAAAGATGAATTACATAGAACAACAATATCGAGATGAATAAAAACACTCAAGCTCCTATAATGTCCTAAGTCTAAGTATCTTAACATGCAACAAAAACACCTCTAGCTCTTGCTCTAACTTTGGCACCAACTCCCCTGTCATCACCATCTCCACCATCATCTTTCAAGTTATGCTCAAGTGCCTCACTATCCTCAGACTGAGGGTTATCATCTCTTGTCATTCCCTTTAACATCTTCTTGAGTTGCACCAATCGTCCTCCAACAGTCCCAAAACTTTTCTCCAATCCCTGCTCAATGCTCAACACTCCAACATATATAACATTAAAACTATGTGAACTGAGGATGTGTTGATCATCTATTTATGTCTAGATCCTAGTAAGCATCCCAACAATAGCAGTCAGCTAGGTAGATAATGAAGTGGAACTCTACTATAGTGGTGGTGTAGTTGATTTACTTAGATGAGTATCAATTGCTGGTGATGGTGGTGCTTTGGAAGAAGAATGCTCATAGACACATGGAGAAATTGATATAATAAGATGGGTTTATTTGTTTTCAAAAATATTGAAACAAAAATGACAATAGCTACACAATGACAATAGGCACTATGAAGGATTCAAAATATTAATTTCTTCATGCTAGAATCCATTCGCCGTGTCACAATTGAATATAAACATGTCAGCAAGCATTTTATTGAAAGGAAAAATCGTNCTTCCAACAATCAAAGATTTTACACTTTCTTTCTCCCAAAATCACCTTCCCCTCGGTTTACTTCCTTCCCTGTGGAAACGACCTTGGAATACCACCAAGTAAAAAACGATCCGTGAAAGTCTCCTTGTGCTTGGGGAGCACTTTTGTTCACACATACTCACATTTGACATCTTATTCATCCACCATTATGTTGCCTTTTCTTTTGACATCATCCCTAGGAGAGTGACACTCCCCTTCATTCATATACTATACATGCTAAAAGGTGATATTTAGAGGTTAGAAAACAACAAGGAATTTTCTCAAGCACACACCAATAACCATCTAACCAAAATCAATCACAAACGCCTCTTTACAATAATGGTGCTTAATCATTTCTTGGAACCCTACTAATTTTACATTGAAAAAATGTACTTTGATCCATTACATGCAAAGCTTAGATAATTTGGAATGCAACCAACGTAAAACTACAAATAGATAAGAGCTAGTAAATTGAAAGTACAATTAATTTACAATGTATTTGCATCAAAACATAAAGACAGCCAACTTAAATAAGATACTTGATCACTTATGTGTGCTTATTAGGTGCACCTCCTATGTAATTTACACACTGATCNGGTCGTGTCTGGAGGACCATTTGACATACTAGATAGGCTTCTAGATGTAGTCGTTGCAACCCTAATAGTTATATCGAACATACCAGATAGCCTTCCGGTAGACGAGATGTCACCTTCCTTCTCCATTGTCCAACTTCATTCACAAGTCATTTCATTACAAAAAGTTTTGGAGAGTTGCCAAATCCTCATCTAGTAGGCCTATTCATAGTGTTCGGTATACCAGATATTCCCAAATANTTCTACTATATAAGTGCTCAAATGCTAGAGTAACAATGGAGGTTATGCTCTTGCAAACCCCAAATTAATCACAGCTAGTTTAACATATTCTAGATTGGCGTAAAAAAAACCCATCAAGTGAAACACCGATTCCCAACTGAAGAAAAGCATGGTAGACCCTCTCAACTAAGAAGTAATAATTAAACATCTGGNACATAGTCTTTCGGATACCCTAATCGGTATACTAGAAGCCTTTTGATGTGACTAGTCCATTTGCTTGATTCCTTTCCATACGGCTATCTGGCACACCGATTACCAGATGTGCTTTTCAAACGTATTATCTAGTGTACCAGATACCTCTTTGGATTTCCTTCCTTGTTCTCTGTTATTCCTTTTCTTGATTATTGTTTTCCTTATTGCTTATTGCTTTCTTTAAGTATTGCTTTCCTTGTATTATTGTTTTCTTTTAATTTATTGCTTTCTTTTACTTTAAGTATTGCTTTCTTTTATTGTGTTATTGCTTTCTTTTACTTCCATTGCTTGAGCTTCCTTCTTCCCTTAGAGGAGTGAAACTCTTTCACTTTTCTAGAGCTTTACCAAAGCTGTGAAGGGTGGAACATGATTCACTCATTCTTTGTCGAAGATCGGCTCCTTGTGTAAAATGTGTTACCTTGTAACTCCTCTACTTGGAGGGATGAGCATCACTCACTTTTCTAGTTTTAACAAAGCCATGAAGAGTGAGTAGTTTCTCATCCAATCTTTAGTAAGAGGTGGTTATCCGGAAGTTAAATTTATGCAATTCGTTTATGCTTAGCTTTAGTCTTTATTTTTTCATAATGTCTTCTCATCATATTGTTGTCTTTATTTTAAGCATGAATAGCTAAATCTCTTAGTTGGCAAAACCAAGAGGAACCTCCACTTGGGTATACCATTTCAACTCATTCTCCTCCCCTCTTTCAGAGTTCAATGGTTCGGTTTGACTGGGTTGAGGGTGGATAACTTGGTGAGTCTTTGATATTCCGTAGGCCTAGTCACGGTTTATGCTTAGATACTCACCAATCTTATCCCTAGCTTCCCACGAATCAATCGTTCATTCATGCTCTATTGGAGGAGGGTTTCGAGTTGAGACGGTATTCCTATTGGAGTGACCTCTTGGATTTGCCAACATTTGTTTCTCATTTTACTAGCATCAAAACAACTTCCAACAATCAAACATTTTACACTTTCTTTCTCCCAAAATCACCTTCCCCTCGGTTTACTTCCTTCCCTGTGGAAACGACCTTGGAATACCACCAAGTAAAAAACGATCCGTGAAAGTCTCCTTGTGCTTGGGGAGCACTTTTGTTCACACATACTCACATTTGACATCTTATTCATCCACCATTATGTTGCCTTTTCTTTTGACATCATCCCTAGGAGAGTGACACTCCCCTTCATTCATATACTATACATGCTAAAAGGTGATATTTAGAGGTTAGAAAACAACAAGGAATTTTCTCAAGCACACACCAATAACCATCTAACCAAAATCAATCACAAACGCCTCTTTACAATAATGGTGCTTAATCATTTCTTGGAACCCTACTAATTTTACATTGAAAAAATGTACTTTGATCCATTACATGCAAAGCTTAGATAATTTGGAATGCAACCAACGTAAAACTACAAATAGATAAGAGCTAGTAAATTGAAAGTACAATTAATTTACAATGTATTTGCATCAAAACATAAAGACAGCCAACTTAAATAAGATACTTGATCACTTATGTGTGCTTATTAGGTGCACCTCCTATGTAATTTACACACTGATCTACTTTAATGAAATAAAAAATGCAATTAGCTTAGCATAAAAGAGCTATGATATTCTACTATATAAGTGCTCAAATGCTAGAGTAACAATGGAGGTTATGCTTTTGCAAACCCCAAATTAATCACAGCTAGTTTAACATATTCTAGATTGGCGTAAAAAAAACCCATCAAGTGAAACACCGATTCCCAACTGAAGAAAAGCATGGTAGACCCTCTCAACTAAGAAGTAATAATTAAACATCTGGAAAAACTTAAATTAGAGTAAATTCTTGAGTTTGGATATTAGGTGTTTTAATGGCGTGGTGAGTCATCAAATTCGACCACTTCTTACATCTATCCAAGCAAAATCAAACCAAAATCTATCAAATCAAAGAAATCATCACAACTTATGGTCATACTTCACTTCATATTTCTCATCAGATTTTCAGAGTTGTCGGTCACTATTAGATGTTGTGCTTTCTTCACTACAATAACGAACAAAACCTAAATATAAGATTTATGAAACTCTAAACAAATTCACAATTCAAGAAAAATGCCCACTTTCATGGCTTAAAATGTCCACTTTCCTTTTCAATCACATAGGTATCAATTGTAAAATCCGAGTAAATTTAAACTTTTTATATAAAGGGCAAAATAGTATTTTGTCACTACAGTACGAGTTATAAACTTGAAACAAATTCACAAGTGCTGCCATGTCAAGCAAGATCATTTCAGGGGAGCCATATTTCCCAATGAGCAAATGCCATAAAAGGGTGAGCACATAGCCTATAGAACTCATTGTACAGTTTCATCACAAGGGGTATCTTTATTTGGTGCATGAAGATTATGCAATCCTCAATAAACCATATTCATTCAAATTCTTTGCAGATTCTCAATATACCATTTGCTCTAATTCCTAACCTAGTTAAATTGTGTTGAACAAATTCCTTGCAATCCTCAATATACTGCTTGCTCGCCAGGAAGATTTTCTGGATGTGTAGCACAAATTCCTTCGGCATCCGTAAGTGTTGGGATGAACTTATCAATAAACATGTGAGGTTTTAAATTACTCACTCCACATTTTGTAGCCAAATGTTCAAGGATTTCTACATCAGATGGATTAAATTTTACACCAATAGGCAAACCAAGCCATTCATGAGAAACCTACACAGGTGAAACATCAGAAAAATTAAAATCAACTGTAACTATAACATACCAATTAAACTCAACAACACAATCCACAATCCACACATCAATGCTTGACTTGTCACCAAGAAAAAATTTTTAAAACCCTATTCTCTGCATATGTTTTTCATAGCTTGAAAAACAAGTAATATGGTAATGACAATAACATGAATCAATATTGATCTCATATGAAGTCTTGATTTGTTTTAGTCAGCATTCTGCGGAATCCATGCTCAACAGTTCATCACGGAACCTATACTCAACAGCTCATAATGATGTAATACTCCGCAAACAAGATAAGTTTTTCGTAATGTATCAATTCATGGACATAAAGAAGCTATATTTATGTAAATTCAAAAAATTTAAAAAAAAATCAGCATACGTCAGTAACAATATCACAAATCACTCCAGTTGAATAAAGGGCAAATCAGTACACAAACTTAGTAATTAAGTGGGTTACGGATACAATTAGGTTATGACAGGTAACTAATTTTATTTAGAAACACGCATTTTGTAACTAATTTATGCCAAATGTGGGGGAGGATGTTTCTGTAAGATTGATTATAAGTATGATCAATCTTGATTAGGTACACACATGCTGATCCTTATAGTATTTAACTAAATAGGGATCATCCCAAAAAAAATTATGCTCTTCACCCAAAATAGGAAGGAAATTAATAGCTACAAAACCCTAACTATGAAAAATCCTACAATCCTATCATTTAAAACTCATCACACCATTATGAGAAAACACCCAAATTAACACCCAGTATGAGAAAATTCATTGAAAAATTACAAAACACCCAAAAATATCAAACCAATACAAAACACCTAATGTTGTGTG